CCCCAAAACCCCAAAACCCCGTAATTAATCTATTGAATATTTTTAATAAAAAAAGATTATTATTAAAAATAAAGTTAATTTATAATTAGTGTTCGATGTTTTTATATATAACTTAGCTCTTACTTGAATATTAATTCAAATGCAAATTCCAATATCTCAGTCAGCATTACCATTACTATGATCATTTATATTCTTTATCATGGTATTATTATCATTCTCGCAACTAAGCATACTTGTCGTGCTCTGAAGCAGTATATTATTTTAACTCGATCGTCTTTGTAGCAAATACCTTATCTAATCTGGGAACGGGTCAAATTAAAACAAGGGAGCTCTAAATACTGTTCTTTCAGTTCGCTTAAGCTTATGCGTTGAAATAAATAGAAACCAAAGTAAAAAGGTAGAAAAGCAGAAGTTTGTGATGATAATCCAAAGTCTATAGTATTGGAATATCTAATTGTAAAGGTCGTCATTTTTAGGTGAAGAATAGACATCGAAAAAGTACAGAGTATTCGAGAATACAATCTTAGATGACCAAAGTAGTATCAAGATGGCAATGCACACATCGTACTTGTTATACTTCTTAATCATCATGTGCTCGCTGTCTGGTTTCCTCAGATAGAGATACGATCTAATAAACATGTATGTGAATACTAACTCGACCAAAAACTTATAGATGTTCAATATCAGATTAATCACTGAAACAGCAGATGTCTCATCCTTGATGCACTTTTACTAGAGGCATTAGACTTCAAGAACTGTGAAAAACACATTGCAACCTAGATATATAGAGACTACCACCCAAAACACAATCAAGTACTTTTGTCTTTTCTTAATAAATTTCTATTCGTCTTAGAGACATACATACGATTTCCATAAAGTGAATATAAAGAAGAAGCTGCAAGCATACACAAAAATATTAGCAAATTCTGCTATCTCCGAGAGTATATCATCTAAGTTATCATTCGGATTATAAATATCTCCCACAACACTCCACACATAAGCAACGATTTTAAGAATCAAGCAGCAAAATGTGCTCAAAATTATCAAGATGCTGCCCTTATTTAATATGATATTTTTCTGAATCACGTAGCAGGTCTCAATAACATAGACCGTAAAAAATATAGTATAGAGGTTCAACCAAATCACGTGAAATAATTTACCATCTAGATCATGCTCATCACCTGCCTAGAGTTTATCACAATCCTTTAAACAAAAGCGAATAACATCCATTAAAGCCAATAATTTCAGAAGAGTTATATTAATATATCAATTGTGTATTTGGAAAATTAAATATTCATCTAACATTTATCAAATTTTTAAAATAGTTAAATCAAGGGGTTTTGGGGTTTTGGGGTTTTGGGG